AGAAAATGCCCTAAAGACGCTCAACTTTTTGAGCGCCACTTGTCGTTCGGGACCGCGATACTCAATAAATTGAGCGCCACGACAGACGACAGTCAGCTGGCGCTCAAAAAATTGAGTGCCGGCCAGCATCTACACTCAATTTTTTGAGCGTTCTCCGTGACAGGTGAAGCCGGTGCTGGCTGCCATTTTTGATGTTATGTTCGTTGAAATACGTTAAACTGAGTTGAAACAGAAATGCAGGAAGTTGAATGCTACGTGGTACCTGAACTTCTCACAAACCCATGGCATCATGTCACATTTTCCGCTAGTAGTTTTATCGGTCGCCTTTCGGATTCGGCACACCTCAAATAATTATACAGGGCTTGAATAATCCGTATGAATATTGTTTTGATATTCTATGACTGTACTGGGAGAAGGGAATACGTGAATACAGAAAGATATCCACCCACGCTTGAATATTGGAGAATTATAGCAGGAAAAACTGTATTGCCACGGTTACAACTTACAAGGCCATCGGCCGCAAACAAACAAAAATACTATACAATGTGGGTTAGATTCACAAACATCATCAAGTGTGGAACACAGAGACGAGCAAAACAACATCACATTATCGCATGCCAGCCCGACCACATTGGAACCGGGTGACCTGCGACCGGAACCTGCGTCTTGCCAGCATACATCACAAAAGCAGGAGGCAGTGTCGTACTGCTTTGATCCAAAATATGCCATATAACAAATGATATAAACGACCTAAGCTCGGACTAAGCTAATCATTATCAAATCCTTAACATGTAAAGGACGAATGGAAACATCGAGTCTCAGACCAGCAGTAGCAACCATCACAGTAGCAACATCACAAAGAACACGCGGCATTATCAGACAGCCGTTTTGTTATCGGGCTACAGGCGGCGACGGCGTGGTTGCAGACCAGCTGCGAGGTAGCGGCGTGCGGGCAAAAGGCGCGGGCACACCTCCATGTGGCCGTACGGACAGTGCGCGGTCGGCGTCGCATAGTGGGCGGCATCGGGCTGTCCCGGGGCCGTCGAAGCCGCACAGGTTGTCGGCGCATGTGGGCGCGCGCGGTCACCACGGCCAGCTGCTCACCGCCAGCACAGACTGCGCAGCGTCGCCGCTCCGCCGGCCAGAACACGCAGACAACCCTTCTTGCAGTCGCACAACACGTCGCCAAACTCATTCACCTGCTCCATCATGTTGTTGATGTCACCGAGTCGTTCAAGTTGTGGCTCGTGCCGTCGAGCATGACCTGCCCGATCGGACACGGGTCAGCGGCTTCTGCTCCAGCGAAGTCTTCATCTTGGTGACGTCTTGCTGATCTCCACAAAGGCTGAGCAGATGACCTTACCCACAGGGACGGCCGACGTCCTCGCCAGCGACCGCTTGGTTGTGCAGACCTGCCAGAAAAAGAAAAGCTGTTTGGTGATCTCAAACGATTTTTTCTTTATGCAGTGGAACAAAATGGAAAATATGTCATACAACAGGAACTAAAAAAAGATGCAGCCTAGGTCGTCTAAGAAATGGGTGCAACATTGATAAAATTCTTCATTGAATGAATTCTGCAATTGCTTTTGATAAAATGTGTGGTGATTATAAGGAGACCACTTTACTATAAAATTGCTCAGGATTCCTTATCTGGACCTGTCAAAAAATCCTGACTGCACACCAACAATTAGCATTAAATCCGAAACCTCTACCAGGTACCTAGTAGAGATGCCCTTTTTGAACCCGCGAACCCGCTTTCTGCGGGTTTTCAAAACCCGCAGGGTTTTTGGCGGGTTTGAGAAGCAAAACTTGTCGTGTGGCGGGTATTTGGCGGTCAGACTTAAGAACCTATAATTTTTTTTATTTTTTTTTTTAGATGCAAAACACAATGCCAAGTGCATTTGCTCAGGTTAACAATACAACATTCATCAAAACAACTTTTAAAACAGAACCAAATATAAAAATATATCAAGGAAGCACATTTCAAATGCAAAACTGAAAACAACCAGCAATAGCATCCACAGTCTGGCAATGACCAAACCAGGGTACAAGCAATAAACTACTAAGCATAAATAAATGCTGATGAAAGCATTCCATAAAACATAAAAGACCCTGAAAGCAAACTTATAGGAAGCTGAACTGAAGTCTATGTGCACTGTGCAGTGTGCACTAGATATACATTATGGAAGAACCCAGACTTAAATGAGATGTTGAAAATCAGAGCAAATGCCACATGTTACTTTATTTGCGTCTGGTCGGCATAAAAAAGAGCTATCAGCTAAACAAAATTTGATGCAAATTCATTGATTACCTATCCTACTCTATGTTCTGTTCCACCCTATATTACGAAAATAACACACCAATCACCCTTACAAAAAATCAAAATATAGACTGGCCGGCCCAAACATAACGCAATACAATACTGGCGCACTTCCGACATTCTGACAAGGATGGGCATTTGACTGCGTCAATTTTGGTCTCTGAGGTGAAGGAAAGCTGTCATTGATGACGCAATAATTTTCAATCAGTTTTTCTGTCTTGGTTTTTGAATGCCTCAAAATAGCAGTTATACATGTTACAAAACCACGTAGCTGGGCCCTGTTTCACCGGTGATAGCAGCACGCTGCTATCACGTTTCGCGAGCTGACGTCATGTCATGACGCCATACTGCTGACGTGATGGGCAGTTCCGGCGCACGATGCCCGCGACCTTGGCCGCGGCATTAAGTGACGTATGAGCCTAAAAGTAAGAATTTACGCAGTCATGATAGTATATTTATTTTCAATATATATTTTTTTAAGATGATGTATATAAAAGAAGTTGGGTTGAAGGAAAATTTGGACGTAAACTTCGAACATTTAGTTGATGACGTAAAACAATATTGCGGCAATCGTGCGCCAGAATCGCCTCTTACGTCAGCAGTATGACGTCATCACATTACGTCAGCTCGCGCAATTTGATAGTAACATGCTGCTATCACCGGTGAAACAGGGCCCCGGTCGCATTTATTTCTTTTGTCTTTTTACGTCCTTATCATTTGTATGCCGACAGATGACCAGCCGGAGAGCATTACCAAGACCATCTATAAAATCATTACATTTAATTTAGTATTTACTGTCTCTTTATTTCTAAACCGGTGATTAACCTCTAAATTGTAAAACTTTAGCTGTTGTGTAAAATAATTTAATCAGAATGGCACATGAATATGCATTATACAACAGTGTTTTCGCAACAAGTTCGACTAACTACGGCCGCAATAATTTAGTCGCTGTAACATTCCTTCATCAGCTGTTGGTGACGCTTCTGACGCATGTTTCCAGAAATGCGTGGTTCATTGGTGGTTAGTTGCAAGGCCATATATGTTATTATAGTTGGTTTTTGCTGGGATTTTGCATGATTTGTTTTATGTGTAGATCGACTGGATACTCATTATTCACTGTGTCACTATTTATTTTTAACTGGAAATCGCATATCTTTTTATATCAACATTCATTTTGATAACAATATCATTCCTACCTAGGGATAATTAAATTCTGATTCAGGAAAATATTTCACATCATACAAATAAAAACCTTTACTATATTCAAATTGAAACTGAAAATGTGATGCCGATCCAGTGACCTAAAGGTCTCAAAGTATAATAATAAATTAATCTATTATAAATTTGGTGGTGACTGTCGACTGGCGTCTGGCGGCCTAGACCTTGAGGCTTGAAAGTGGCCTCCCTTTTCCGTTGACTCCGATCCTCCAGATGGAAATGATATAAAGGATCATTTTTATCATATTTCATATGAGCCAGTCAGCAAAGTGGCTATCCTGTTTCAGCATTCACACACACAATAGTTGACTGTCAGTCTCTCATGCTGTCAGTGTTGTGAAGTAACAAAGGAGTTGAGTTTTGTTGATTATAAATTGTAATGTTATGTAAAGGACTGGAAAATGAATGTGAAAACTATGGAAACATATTGGCAGAGTATTGTCACTTACTATCAGAACATATGGAAAGAGAATACATTCAAATTAATAAGAAATGCCAAATATCAAGGTATTCAATCACTGATAGGAGTGGACTATCATATGTTTTAATGTCCATTATATGAAAGTTAAGACTGAAACTACCTTTTACCTCATCATACCTAATGAAAAATTGTGTGAAGAAAACATTCACAGCCTCTTTGAAGCACTTAGACCACTACAAAACAAAAATTTTCACGTAAATATGTAGCGTCTCCTTCCTTCAAAACATCATATCGGATGGCGCCACTTTCGTCGACAGTTACTTATCTGCACGCAAATCGAGGAAAACGTGAATTGATTGACGTTTACGTGTTTCCAAATTTAAAATCACAGCATATTCAAACTTTTCAGTGTACCTTTTAACATCTAAATATAACTAAAACGATAAAAACTTACCTTCAACACGAGGACGACGACAACCACGCGACCGGAGACGTCGCGACGAAATAAACAAACGGCGCCGCCAAATGAAAAATATTCTCCGATATCAGTAATGTGAAATTGGGTCGCAATCATTTTGGGTAGTATGAAAAATGCTCTTTCCAACAGAACCCTAGTAAAAAACGTGAATGGACAAAAAATAACTTTTATTTCGACATAAATATTGGCCTGTTTTTAAGTCATCCTGGTATGCCGTAAGATTTCGACCTATAAATTGGTGTTCCCCCAATCATTGAAGCTTGAGCAGTGAAAAATATGAAAGCCTAATCTGTTTTGCATCATTAGTGATTCTCCTAGGGTGTTGCCATTTCTCCCTAGGTGTTGCGAGTTGCTTTTGCAAAACGTGTTCCTGAAACGGCTCAATTTTTTGAGCCCTCAGCATTACGCCTATGGGAGCCTCTGACGTCACACGCTCAATATTTTGAGCGCTCAATAATTTGAGCTTTTCCCCCTTGTGCGTGGGACTGAAATGGGTCGCTGATTTCATACACCCTGACCCTTGTTCTTTTTTCATGGGTCAGGGCAAGGGTAAGCAAGGGTCTCAGTCTCAGGTCAAGGTAAAAAGAGAAGACTGGCGAATCACTGGTGAATCACTGGCAGATTTAAATCAAAACTGAAATGGGCGCGTTTTAATTTCAGGCACATGCACCTCCTTAGCCCAATCTTACCAAATGTTGTGAATGTGTAATCACTACATTGTGATTAAGCCAGCAATATTAATATTTTTCAACATTCATTGATTTATTCATTCAGGCAACATTTATAATAATTTACCTCATTAAACTTATTCGGCGGGATTAACTGAATGTAAATAAAAAGAATGCATTCCATATTGACTATTATTGCCAGTAACTATGGAAAGTGCTGCCAAGTGGTATTCATAGCACGGGTAGGTAAGGGTCACTCAGAATTGATGAAATTTCGAAGTTTTCCTTGCGCAGAAAGAAAGCAAGCAATTTTTATTGTTATAGCTTGGGTTAAAACATAAAGCTGCACAGCAAATAATATTGTTAATTTGTATCATTTGTATAAATGTGCATACATGTAAATTTTTAGTGGAAAATATTAGCTCTAGAATGTGATGTAACTGGGATTTTTTTTTATTTGCCAGCCATCAGTCATCAATTTTTCACTTAGGTGCCTACTTTTAGGAGCTGTGCACCACATTTTCCATGTTGGCTGACCATCTGGTGGATGTATTGTGCGGAAACTGATGAGGATGTGAGTGTAAGCTACGATTTTTAGAGGTGATTGACCATTGATTCACCTGTGAACCAAAAGGAACCATGGTGACAAAGCTGCCTATTGAAAGTATTGGAAGTGCACATACATCGCGCTATGTAAAGTGCATCAACTGTATCATACTAACGTGACAGTCATATGTTGAATTTGTCATGTTATCAGCTCTGTGCCGGCCCTCCGCGTCCCTCCTCGGACAGTGGCGCCCTCTCCGCTGATCGTGGCGCCCTCTCTGCTCCAGGTGGCGCCATGATTCGTCTGCAGAATGCCTCTGAGCGCGCCGCCGCCGGTCAGGTCGACGAGACGAAACTGGCGCGCGACTCTGTAATCGCCAATACGGCCACATTTTTCGTGCTGTGCGGCGTCATCAGAGCCAGTGAGTAGCGACCACCGGTGGGCTCATTTCCTGCGGTGGTTCATGTCAGCTGAGATCGCGGCTGACGGCTGGAGGCGCTTTGGAGCCTCTTTTGATGTCGATAATATGGGTTGATGCGCTGCTTGTCGCTTGCATGATGTTTTTGAGACGTTATGTGTTTTGGAGCATCATCACGAAGTCCTTGCGGTGGTGGTGGGTGCTGTTGTGTAGCTCTTCCAGTTCTCAGTTTGGGAAATGCTGGAAATATCTGTTGGTTGGGGAATATTATGCATGAAAACAAACGAGCGGAGCACCATGCATATGCGGTGAGCCTTCGGCCCTGACACAATTCGGTTTGAATGGTTTGAGCTGCACACCAGGCATTTTTTAGTTGAGTGCGTTTTGTATTCTATTTTTAACCCGCGCATGACTTGGGGGGCTCTACAGACAGGGCTCCCTCCCGTTTTTCAGCAATATTTTCTAAACCGACGGATCAACACGAAACTTGCGGTACCCTCCGAGGCATCAATTTGACACCTTGTGTTAAAATTTCAACTTTCTAGCTACCATAGTTTGGCCGGAAATGACGTCAGAGTGACGTCATGTCGGCCGATTTTCATGCAAAATACTGAATTACGGCAAACGCTCTCAAGGGCTCAGTTTTAAAGCTAGATCCATTTTCTTTGCATGAGTGGACTAGAAATACACGTAGCTACCACACTGCTATCTCGAATTTTCGAAATTTTGAAAATTTTAAATTACAATTACAAAAAATATATTTTTTGATTTTTTTCAAAAAAATTTTGACTTTTCGCAAAAACCGGAATATATGTGATAGAACACACACTGATGAACTACCTTTGCAAGTTTTATCCCAATGTCTTCAAAAATAGCCAAGTTATTCGCATTATTGTCAAAATTTTACAATTTTGTTTTTTTTTCAAATATATTTTTCAGTACGTTTTTGACGTCGTACAACAATATAAATGGCAACATCGTGTTCCTGAGCTCAAACTGCATCTGATAGGCACCTTTTTTGTTGAAAAATTTCATTTTCAAAATTTGACCTTTTCTGACCTGAAAGTGACCTGACCTCCAATAAATTCAGCTGACAATGACCTCAAATAACACAGACGACACTATTTTCGAAATCTACGAGTAAAATGGACCATAAAACATGCGTCACGTGACCGATACATGATAAACAATTTTCGTGACCTAGGATGGCCTGGCCTTGACCTTAAAAATTCGAAGTAAAAGTTCGGTACCCTCACGGTATCTAAGGCATCCGTCAAGGAATGCGTAAACCAAAAATGAGCCTGATCGGACCGGCGGTCCGGCGGTCAGAGCCTAAATTGTGAACTAGCAAAAATGTCGATAATTTTTACTTTGACCTGACCTGTGACGTCATCAGTGACTTCGAGGTCAATGAAAATAGGTTTCGCTCGACAGTTTTTCCAGGGCTATGAGACACCGTTTGAATTTTTACGATCGGCCCAGTAGTTTCGGATATAGGGGGGGGGGGGGGAGAGCCCCCCGTCACTCGCGTTATGGAAAATACCCCAGTCATGCGTGGGTTAAATCTCAACCTGAGTGAAATCTAACTTTCTTTTTATTGTGATATCGACCGTCATTCTTAGTGTTTCTTTTTTTTTGTCACTTTTCTTGTTCGGGTATTATTTCGGTTATGATCACTCTTATCATATATTTTTTGCTTTTCAACAAACCTGAAGACGCTCCCGCCTCTAGCTCTGCTCATATCGTGCTCAGTTTGAACGCGGAAATGGAGGCTTCAGTTGTCAGCACTTTGCTTTTTTACAATCAGGGCCCTGTTCACCCTTGTTTATTTAGTTAGCAGCAGACTTATGACGTCGGCGGTCAATTTACATCACGGTTACATGACGTCGTCACTGTAAGTTACGTGTTATGTGAATGAGACATTTACGACACGCATGTGGTTGCCCGTAGTAAGGCCCACGCTGGCGTCAGCAGCCTACGTCAGCGTACTTCAGACAGCACAGCCTACGTGCGTTTCTCAGCCTTTCATTGGTCAATAGCGCAGTGCTATCCATGCAACACAGTAAGCTACGTAGTGGGCTGTTAGGGAAGCTTTTTTTGCCAGCAGCGGGCGAACAGGGCCCTGGATCAGTCTGAGTGCTTCTTTTCCTCATAAGCTATATGCCTAGCGCAGTCAAGCGGTACAATGTCCGAACTGCCATCGTATCCCGGTGTCAGTGTCGGGCTCGGCTCCCGGTGCCATGTAGCCGGTTAGCTGTAAAAAAGCCTTACCGAAACGTCATGTCGCATGTATGCTTCATCAAAGTTAATGTAACCCTGACTCATGCGCTGTTTTCGCACGCTCCGTTGTGTATCAAAGATGGAAAATAGTTTTTGCTATATGAAAATATTTGCAAAATATATTTTGTAAGCATTATTTTTTATCATTATGAGCATAAACATAAAACTAAAGCAAAAAACTTATTTGAGGAAAATGGAAAGTGGTATGTTTTTTTAAACATTTGGCAGAAAGCTCCGTTGAATCTACCTCATGGCATGACATTAGCATGACTCATTGTTGGACTCATTGTTAAGGCCTGGGTACACTATGCGTTTTCTTCGTGCGTTTTTTGCGTGTTTTGCGTGATATCGTTCTAGAAAAAAGAACGATATTACGTTTTTGTGATATTTTTCACCTTAAATTTTAGTTACATAAGAGGTACATTAGCTTTTGTATATAACCAAAGTAAAAATTATATTGTTTATAACTTTTTTCCTAGAACGATATTACGCAAAACACGCACACCTGCAAAAACGCACGCAGAAAACGCATAGTGTAGCCAGGCCTTTAGACATGACTCATGAGTGCCAAAGGGTGGATGCTCTACGCTAAGTACCGCATAGCGTGTGACGTTAAATATTTTCGTTTCCAACAATTCAATCATTCAAGTTTTGCGTTTCATTTTTGCTACGTGTTCGGGATTCATGATATTGATGGCAGCTTCATAATGGTATATTTTTGTGGCTCTTCTGTGTAAGACTATGTCAAAACCATGCTGCAAACATGTTTCCATTCTTTTCTATATTCGCAGCCTGAGTTCGCATCCTTTCAGCTTCGTCTTTTTTATTGATCACTGTCATAAAACCCAAAGTCTTCTCGGCTTCACCCCGACATTCCATCCAATGGTCTAATCAGACGCCGCCGTCGACTGTCCCATAAATCAGACTCGGGCCCCGGACCGATGGGTTTTTGGCCGTCGGGCCAGCCGGTGTCGCTGGCCGCCCCTGTACGGACCGAGAGCCGCCGACATATTGTTTGCAGTCGCTCGGTCGCGGCCTGTGCGGCCCGCCGTATTTCTGGCCGGCTCGTTCGAATGCATCTGCCGCCGGTGACGCCGCCAGCGCCGACAATAAGTGGACAGGCGCCGCTCGGCACGGCGGTCACGCACGCGCCCGTCGGCGGCCGGCTCGACTGACGTCATCAGCGAGGGGAGTCAACAGGAGAGGGGGGGGGGAGTCGAGGCGTCCCCCGGGGCCGGCACTGTCGTCACCGGGACCTCGGGCGATCAAAGACGTCCCGTTGGGATGTGACGGCTGGGAGCGCGGACAGAGCCTGTCGTATTCAGTGGAGGGTGTACGGCCGGCGCTCCATGTTTGTACTATATCAGACAGATTGGATCCTGTTGGGTCGTTCTGAGGCTGCCAGTGAAGCGTATTCTCATTGGTAGGCCGTGGCGCCTTAATCCTTCAATTGAGTCTAAGTGTAAAGTGAATGACACTTTGAGCCGCCTCGAGCTTAGGCCACAGTTGATACATGAGTTTCATTTGGTGGGTCGTCTTTCTCGAAGTCTCGTATAGCCGACCGCAGCGCCTTACTAAGTTAACCGTTACCAGGCAGATGTGGGGTAGTACCGCAAAGCTCCATCATTCAGCCGGTTCATTCAGAGGTGTTGTGTGGCGTCACCTCGTCCGGGTTGCGATAGGGAGACGGTCCGGTGAATGTACGTACGCTCGCGCTGATATATGGCCCAGGCAAATTGGGCACGACTTAGCGTCAAGGGTTATGAATTGATTGGGCGCGTCATCCGATTATATCCTCGGTATTCCGGAGTGATGAAGAATGACTCGACGTGGCAGAGTCGCCGGCCGCGCCGTCAAAGGCGGAAATGAACAATCCCGACGGCATATTTATTTTGCCGTTAAGTAGCCTCGCTGGTATTGGCGTCGCAGCTTTAAACATAACTTAGGCTGAGAGGTTAGGGTTTTGTCGTTTTCAAATGATGTACATGATTGGCCAATTTTGAAGCCAAGTTTAAACTTGGGATCATAATACCGGACTGGGCCCATGATCAAGTCCTTCTGGCCTTGTGGAGGCTGAGTCTGACTTGAGCTAAACCTGCTTAATATGTTCCTCAATAAGAACAGTTTTGTCGCAAAACAATCGCTGGTTAATGGGGATCTTTGTGCTTGGTTTCGTAGGTTTATGTGTATTTCCTGGGCAATGCATGGCATATGAATTTTCACTTCGTTTCTTTTTCTTGTTTGGTTAGAGGGTTGTTTTTGTTTTTAGCCTTTTCTGTCCCAAATATTTTTATGTTATTTGTAGGGGATGTGTGTTATTGTTTTTTCATTATGACGTTCTCACTGCATGTTTTGCATGTTTGTTTAATCAAACCTGTGTATTAACAGTTACCTAGCCAGTAGCCATATTGGTTCGACCAATTTTAAGTGCTTATGGTTTCACGTGTGGAGTCCTGTTTTCTTACATATGCTTTAATGCTACATGCTTATAGAATGTTAAGCAAATAAACCCCTTTTCGCTAGCCACACTGCCATCTCACAAGCACTGCCGACGGCCCAATCACTGCCGGCGTGTCACTAACCGGCGCCCCGTTCCGTTTCAGTGCCGGCGATTCTTGCGGCGTTCAGCGGCGAATCGTGAGCCGTCGGCGGACCGCTCCCTACGTGCCGCTGACGAGCCGAGTCGACATCGCCGCCCGGCCGTTCGTCCAGTGCGGCCGCCGACCTCCCAACCGGCCTCTGGATGGGTGTGAAGGATGTCCGGGGTCGAGCCGAACAGGATCAGTCATAGGATACCTCGGCGACATTGTGAATGATTGTGAGCCAAAATAGATTGAGAGAGTGATTGTGTGTGATGTCATGAATGAATGACTGCGAGAAACGTATGCGTTCATCAGACAATTCATCGTACTAAAACATCGTGGTGGCATTGTTGTTGAGTTGTATTTGTGCAATGCATTCATCGTGAAATATAACACAAAGCTGAATGGGTTTTCTTCTTATCGTCATTGAATATCTTGTGCACATTACGATATGCTATTTCAAAAGACAATGTGCCCATTGCGTCTGAGCATCGGTCAGCCTCAATGCCGGGATGGCTCCCCTCCAAACAATGGAACACTCGTAATGTTTCATAACTAACGAGTACAAACAATTATTCCTTAGACGTTCATCCAACAAGTACCAGGAGGTGTGCGGTGGAGACTGGAGAGTCATTAGAGGTGTTATTATTGATCCAATGACAGAGGAGGACCACGAAATACCGGACGAGTCTAATGCGTAGTCAGATATCAGGCGTGGCGGGCATCTAGCCACTCCTTTACATGGACTAATATAGTAGGCATATTGCTCATGAAATCGCGCTTTACTTTTGAGGGAGCTCTAAAACTAGGTCTCGCTTTTGCATAGTTGAATGCTTGGTAATGTTATCTATGCTTGGTAAAGTAACGAATCTGTTCGTGTCTCCGGTCTCTCGTCTGTTTGCCAGAACGACACGTCCAATGTCTAGCTCCGCGGCTCATTCCCAGTGTACTACGTTCTCACCACCGCGTCGGTCCCATAGCGGTGTAACGAACTGAGCCGCGCCGCCAATCTAATCACTAGGACCGTCCCTCCCGTCGCGATGGGGTCACTCAGTGACTCAACAGGGTGCCGCGTGACCCATCGGGGTGCCGAGCGACGCCCCCGCCACCCGTCTTGGGTGCAACAGCCGCCTGGGCGGCCACCGACGACACTTGTGACCCGTTCGGCGACCGGCGGGAGCACCGAGCAGAGACTACCCGGAAACGGGCCGGCACCGGACAGCGGCCAGCCGCCGGAGAGCGGGCTGTCACGTCTCTCGCTGCCAGTCACCACCCACTCAAGGGCCATTGGCGGCAATCGAATCTGGCCGCGTGTGCGAGTCCGGTGTGCTGGGGTTCGTTTCGTTTACGTCTGGCTTGTTTTCCAGCTGGCCGGGCCGGCGAGATCGATCGGCGCCGGTGGCGCCTCTGGCGGGAGGCTGGCGCACTAGCGGCCGCCAGTGGGCCGGTCGCCCTCGGCGAGTTGACCGTCGGCTCAGGTCGCTGTGCGTTTGTGTGCCGGGCGTCGGTGCCGGTGCTCGGTGACACTATGGATTTTGTACTCCGGTGAGTACCCGATGCCGCCAGCGGCCACCGCTTCGGGCAAATTGCGGTAATGGTGATAGTGCTGGAATCTGAGATGCTATGTGCCGGCTCGAGTGGTGTCGAAAATAGCACGGCACCGCCGAGCGGCTGGCAAGGATTCCAGCTGTGCCGCAGACTCACTCATTGTTATGCAGAAAAACATCAAATGCTACAAACGTTTGAAGAGTTTGATTTTTAAAGCATCGCGCTCAATCTACCTTCAACCATTCAAAAGACGCATTTTCACTATTCATTTTCATTTCTTCATTTTACTATGAATTATCCACGTTGCTCTTGTATATGTAGATACGCGTATAGATACGTATAGATATTGTCATGGCCACAGAAGCCTGATGCCGCTTCGCTTTCGAAGCTCTAAAAAAGTAGTTTCCATAATTTCTGTAACACTTAATTAAAGCGATCCTGTTTCACGGTTAGTTCCTCGCGGGAAACACTGACATCTGTATAAAATACTTCATCAAAACCGTAAACATATTTATAACAAGTTGCATACAATATTTATATTCTTGAGGCGTCGTATGTCCGATAATTCGTCCCTTTTCAAGTCAAACGACAACCGGCAGACGCCCACGCCCAACCCTTGATTTATTCACATGGGCTGTTACTACATGTCATTTATCACCGCGATCTATCAATCGGTTCTTGTAATCTTCCAATACCTACCTATCAATTGAAAGGATCGTAACAGAATTCATGGGTGTAGTGAGTTTGGGCCATGAGACAACGAAACGAATGACACTCAGCACTTTATGGGGAATCAATTCAGTTGAGACGTTTGGAGATGACCGTCTTTTTTCAACTCTGCATTTGCTACCACGTCGTGAAATTCAAATCAATCAATGAAACTGGCATAGATCTCAAGTGTAAATGAACGGAAATATCGAGATGTTTTAAATGATGATGTTTAGATGTTCCGATATTCCCAGACCGTATCAATATAACAAATAAATGCAAAAGTCACAAACGTTGTTGGATCCAGGGAGAAGCATTTGGGGCAAATTCTCCCTCCCCGCAGCGCCCGAAATCGACGAAAATTTACGGTTTGTCGAAGATAAAACAAAAACCTAACAACTTTAATTATAAAAAATTGTTTCACCCCGCTCAGTAGTGCGTAAGGAGTCGAAATCCGATGAGCTTTTAAAATTAGAGTTTTTTTTGGGGGGGATATGCTCCCGCATGTCCAAAACCGCCTGCCAGTGATCATAAACGCTCCGCCTAAAATGCACTGCCACCGATTAAACATTTCCGAAAGGCTTCAAAAGTGATTGTTTTTTAATAGGTGTGAATAGGTGTGAAATGATGAACTTACAATAGTCTCCGCGCTATTTTACCTTATGAAGCAACGTGGGTTTTCTCAGTCATTTCTGGACACCCGCACAGGCACCCCTCAGTGCCCGTCGTGGGCGCGGGCCGTGCGGTTAGTAGAGGTCACGCGGGGTGACGGTGGTTCACTGAGCTCTGTCGGGACCATACGGTATATTGAGGTCATTCGGGTCACGTGTAGTGTCACAGGGGGCGCCGAGGTAGTTCTGCTGGCTCCCGCGATATCTCCTATTGGTGAATTATGGGCTGTAGCCTATACCCATTTTTGACTTAGTTAAAGGGACCCTCCCACCTTCAAAAAAGTGTATAAATTGGCATGAAAGTGATGTCGCTCGGTTCAGAAAGAGCGAAAACGAATATCTACCAAATTTCACCGAAAAATGTTCACCGGTTTTCAAGATATTAGACTTTTACTTTTGTTTACTTTTTGGGATCTCCGCTGTTCCTAGCGACTTTATTTGGAAGCAATAGTTTGGCAGCTGAAAGTGCGGCGCTTGTTGCGCGCAAAGAAGCATATACCACCGCGTGCTACAAAACGTTTTAGTCAAACATTTAAAAATCGTTAGATATCTGCGCTGACGTCACACACTCAGAGGGGTATTCCTATGCATTAGCCCCTCTGAATCAAAATGCTGCAATTTTGAAATTCAATATTTCCGATTTAAGGCATTTCTCGATGTTGTGAGTGCCAAACCGGTAATTGTGAACCAGGGACCCCATTTTGGCTATCTCAACTCAAATCTAATGTTAACCCTCGCATGTGTGCGGCGTTTTCCAGCTTCTAATGTGTAGGGGGGGGGGGGGTCGGTTGGACCCCCCCCCCTTGCCGTTTGGCCCCTGATCGAGCTAGAGCTTCGCGGAAAAAACGAACGTGTTGCCCGTGACGAGAGGAAGCCGATGATACCCAATTTTTAAGTCCTAGGTCATTGGTTGACCTTCCAGGTCAGGTCAATGACCCAAAGTCGGGAAAATCGGGACCTATTAGAAAGTCGTAAAGTGTGGCTGCTAAGGGGGTTTTCGGGGTGCTGATCACGAATATCGTGTTAGTTTTGATCATAGATGATGTCTTTAAGCATTTAGACCAGGTCGGGTCAGGTCAGGTCAAGTCAACCAGTAGGCGTCGTGACGGGTATTCGTAGTACGTGTCAACCGCCTTTAACAGTTTCGTAACATGTTACGAAGGCACCAAAACTACTTCGTAACTGTTCAAATGGTTGCTAAATTCGAATTCAGCTCCAAAAACTAGCCTAGAAACATGTAAAACTCGAAAAAGTGAACCGAGGTCACCCGAGGTCACCAAAGGTCAATGACCTGACCTGACCTTCAGGTGACCTTGAAACCCACTCTAATGCATGGGAGCAACATCAAATCACATGTTTGAACGTTTGAAACCACGAAAAGCTTGCAAACGCACGGCTAATGCGAGCCGACGTACGCCGAATCGCGATTCCGGCCAAACATGGTCTCGGAAAAGAGGTCACAGGTCAAAGGTCATTTGGGTCAGGGTCATGAAATTTTCAGGGTAGGTGTATAATTGATCAATGCGAGGGTACTGAAAGTTTCGTCGCGATCGGCCGCTTTTTACGCGAGTTATTCGCGAAAAACCATGGGGGGGGGTCCATCCGACCCCCCCCCCTACACATGCGAGGGTTAAGGTGGGAGGGTCCCTTTAAACTTGTGTACCAGTGGGTAGCTGACAAAGAATGTTCGATAAAATTTGTTGTTGCATTCACGATGTCTCCCACTCTGAACTCAATGCTCCTCAGTCCTCATGGAGAGGCTTGTTTTCATTCGTTGGCGCATTCAATTCTTGCTAGTGGTGTCAGTTTCAGAAAATGTATGTCCAATGTCCGTCCAATTTCCAATGCTTACGTCGATTGTCCGTCCAAAAATGTACAAGCCAGCCATTTGTCCAAAGATGTCCGAAGCCTACGCAATAGTTTACACTCAACACTGTTATTTAATTTGTTTTAAATGTACTATTGCCAGCTTTAATGTGTTAATCATCTCAAAAGCTGAGCTTTCTATTCGCCAATCAGTGTTAAAAACGATTGCTTTATAAAAATGCTGAGGTGTAGCAAGTGAATGTCCAAAGTTGTCCAACGCCTGCCGTCATTGTCCAACCGAATTCCGAATTGGACATTGGACAAAATCGGAATTCCGAAGATTCAAGTTCCGATTGACACCACTAATTCTTGCCAATATTTTTAACCAATAGGACATTGTGTCCAAATTTGTAACACACGCGTTAGTGCGTATATATTATGTGAAATTTTTGCAGTTAAGTGGTACTCTTCCTAGTTGCAAAATACCTAGATAAAAACTCGAGCGAGCATATTGATACCAAATCTATGAAACGGTCCAAGTTTGAAGCCGGACGAAATTGGTTTTACGCCTTTCGAATTGTAAAAGGATAAAAAATATAGGCATAGAAACATGAGAGGATTTTATGTTAAACAACCTTCTGCATCCGTAGCCAAATACAGAGTACTGAAATGGGGGCGTTGCGTATTTGCCTTTGCTTGTATAAGGACTTTGATTAATTCAATCGCTTTTTTTGACCGACCAGTATCAATTTGCTCCAACGTCGTTTTTAGGTTTGTTTTATTAGAACGGCACGCATGCTTTATCTTGCTATGTAGTTTTTGTACAGTTTTCTTGCTTATTTGTTTTTTGCATGCCCGCGCCAAAGTTAACATACCTAACCTACCTTTGACCCTGTCATAGGTCACAGATCATACCGCATGTGAAAAAATAGTTGATTATTTCTAATAAAGATACTTAAATGCCGCTTTTCTGTCCTTTTGTACGGCCTATGTATGGATTTGCTAGCAGACAAATCACTGTTTCTTTTCCTCGAGTTATTCCATGGCCAATGCTCAATAGCTAATTTATTGAACGTGAGAAGTTACGTGAGTGATTCGAGGCCTTTTTTTGCATGCGCTTTTTCTTCATCGTGGAAAGTAAAAGACCATTTGTGGAGAAAAACGTTTTCCGTACCTTCTGCATTGCCATTGTCCAAAAATAGTCCATGACAAAAAAAAATATTTCTTGTTTCGAGACATTTGTCTTTAAAGCACCCGACACTCGACAGCCTTCAAAATTACCTGTCAGGAAATACTGCTGCTACCAATTGTTGGTGCTGAAAACTTTGTTGGGAATAAGTGCCATGCTGCTCAGTGGGGATTGGGATTGCGCTGTTGCCAGAGGACTGGTACGGTAAATGCTAATTGGTGGACTAGCGGTTGCTAATTAATCAAAATTCAAAAATTAAATCATTGTCCGATACGCCAGCAAGTGTACTTTGCTCTCGCATACTAGGAATCGTTGCATATACATGCCCCGTCACCGTCACCTGTATGTATGTATATTAGAGACGTCAATCGGATACCAACTATTTGGTAGGTATACCGATACCAAACCGATACCAACTTGGTATTTGGTATTTCAATCGTAATGTGTTTGGTATTTTGTTGGTATCATAAGCCCTCACTAATGTATAAGAAGCTAAGAAATCGGTAAAAAGTTGGTATTTCCCTCAGTTTCCCAAGTTGGTTTGGTTTCGGTATTTTCCCGTGGTTTTGGTTGGTATTTGGTTTGCTATCGGTATTCCGATTTTCCGTAATTGACATCACTAG